AATGAATTTAATGGTTTACATAACTAATGATGTCACAACCCATGTTCATGAGACACTTTCTATTTATGAAGCTACTGAATCCAAGTGTTTTAATCTTTACATTTTGTGTTAATAATATGTGAATATGAGCTACAGCAAGAAACGAGGAACTGAGGGAGTGATTTTCACTTTAAAGTGCCCAAAAGAAGAGCTTCAGGATATATATGAAAGTGAATCAATATCATTGATCCGGATATAATTTATGTTGTTTCGGGTCATAAAAACTCTCTTTTTTCTTTCTTTGATTTTTCCTCTTTATGTGACTGTTAAATACATGTAAGAAGAGAGTGAATTGGATCATGGAAGAAAGGAAGGACTGTCTCAAGAGTCGCAAGACTAATGTGGATGTATCTGCTTGGCCTTCGGCAGCAGCTGTTCTGAAGGGCCACCATTAATCTAACCCTCTAACCGGCTCTGTACACAGCAGGATAAGTGGAGAGGGGTCTTTGGATCAATGGAGGGTGGGACAGACCAGGACAGAATGTGTGTGGAGAGGTATAGACCTGATAAACGAAAGACCAGCTGTCTGCAAGAGCTGCCCAGACCTCATCAGCAGGATCAGAGAGAACTTTTCAACGTTTTTTGTACTCTTTACAGGTCTTTTAGAAATGCACCCCAGGTCTTTGGGAAACGCACCCCAGAATAGTTAACATCTATCATGGGTTTAGTAGATATCAAAGGTGTCAAATTTGATTTCTGTGGTGTTCATGTTGGGAAAACTGGCTTATTTGTGATGTATAATGCCTCTTATTGAGTAAGGAAGTGATATATTACATAAACAGATGGGAGGCATGGGAACTAGCATGTGCACCTGGATACTACTTCATCTAGATGACTTTAACACTTTGTTGACCTGACCAACCATTGAGAATAGGATTGTTGCCAAGTGCTATTAGCTAACATGCCGTATGCTTCTTTCTTACATGTGCTGTCTTTGAAACAAGACAAAAGCTGTCTTTAAAGGAATAGTTCATCGAAAAATTAATAACTTTATTATTTTTAAAGAAAATAATGATTTTATTCAGCAAGGATATAGTAAATTGATCAAACGTGAAGACATTTATAAAATATTTCGATTTCAAATGAATACTCTTCTATTGATTATTTTAAATTGTAATAATATCTCAACTTTTTTGCTGTATTTTTAAGCAAATAAATGCAGCCTTGGTGAGCTTTTTTTGCTTACTGACCCCAAAGGGTAGCGTATGTCTGCGTAAACTATTCCTTTAACTGGTAATGGTGAGCGTGATTTGACCAAGTACAACATGTTCCTGGATCAACATCCATGTTGATCCTGGAACATCATTCCAATCAACCAATCAGAATTGAGAGATAACTTTTTAGGAAATGTCAGTTTTAGGCTTACAATCAGGATTAGGTGCTTCTACATCCTTGTTAATCAGCTATCATTTCCCTCTGATTTTAGTAATAAATTATGGGTAAGGTTAGGTTTAGGGGTAGGGATTGGGTGATCCAGGAACATGTCTTACTTGGCAAAATCACGGCGACCAACTGGTAATACCAGTAACCCTGCCATTATGTTGATCTGGCTATACACAATGTTTTATCTCTTGTCCTTTTATACACAAACAAGTGTTCAAAAGCCACTGGGTTACACGACCGAACATGTCAGAGTGGGATGCACTCCAGTGGGACTCTCATGGACCCGTTTCAACTCATTACTGACAGCTTTTGTACATGGCCTCTCTCATAAACCTGGCAGCTCCCAGCCTTCCCAAGTGTGCTCTTCAGACCTCTCGTTAGTCTCTAATGAGCCGCCCCGTTGATTGCTGAAAAAGAAGAAAGAAAAAAAACCCAGGAACATCCAGTTTGTCTCATTCCATCTTTGATTTCGCCCTGACACAGACAAAGGAGGCCTTACTTTGCTCAAACAGCCATGATGCTCCACTGTTGCATCTCTTTGTTTTACTCTTGTCCTGTCCTGGAGTTCCACAAACAACAAGAGCCTTTCTAATTCTATCTTTCTCTAATACATTCATATTCCTCTATCCTTTCTTCTCCTCTCCTCTCATCTCTTTCTCTTCTTCCGCCCCTCTCCCGCTTTTGCTCTTTTTAACCCGTGCCCCTCCCTATCCCTCTGCCTTTGTGTCCCTCAAGCTGGTTTAAATATTTAAACAATGCAATTAGCGTTACACCTGATGCAATTGAAAGACGGGCCCTTTGTGACCGTATGCTATGGCACGGCAACACAGCAGGAATGCCTTTGCTCATAGCCTTTTAATGTCTGCATGACATGAATGCAGGTTTCGTTACCTCTGAACTTGAATTAGAATCTCTGAATGTCACATTATTGAAAATCTATTATGAAGCGAATATCCATTTGGTATACATGTTTTTTATCACCCAGTTTAATCTGGAATAGAATAGAATAGAATAGAATAGAATAGAATAGATCAATGATGCAATGATGATTTAATGATGCACCGAAATAATTTTTTTTCCAAACAAGAAACCAAAATTAAAGGGATAGTTCACCCCAAAATGAAAATTACCCCATGATTTATTAACCCTCAAGCCATCTTGAGTGTATGTGACTTTCTTCTTTCAGACGAATACAATGGAAGGTACATTAAAATTGTTCCTAGCTTTATAATGGCAGTGAATGGGGTTTAAGATTTTGAAGCCCAAAAAACTGCACCTATACATCATAAAAATTGCCCCACACAGCTCTGGGGGGTTAATAAAGGCCCTCTGAAGTGAAATGATGCATTTATATAAGAAAATATCCTTATTTAAAAAAAAAAAAATAAAAATACTAACCTTATTCAGTACTGGTTAAATACCATAACCAAATGATTTGCATTGTGTTAATGGTTCTCAAACATGCATTTATCACTAGCGGCACCACAATTTCTGAATATGTGAAAAGTTTATGAAAGAATTGTATTGCTTTTTTTTCCTGTTCTATTGAAATCTGAAATGATTTCTTCATTTGGCACGAGATTGCTAATGACCTAAATTGAAATTAGGGGGGGAAATGCATTTATTTTATATTTCTTCATTAAAAGTACTAAGAACCATTAACAGAACTGTTAAGGAACCAAATCATTAATAGTAATTGGAAGTAGAACCAGAATCATTCAATTCTTTATTATTCCCATTCCTATCAGATGCATAGAGTTGTGTCAGGGAGTTTCAGTCCTGTTTCTAATGTATTTTCTGTTTCTCACTGCTTCCCCAGAGTGATTTAGATCTTCCAGCTCCTTGTTATTTCTATGCCAATCATGAAGAACTGAAACAAACCTTTTATTTAGGCTTACTCCCTCTGTTTTGCATCTGCCAACACAGGAGCCCCCACAAAAGACGTCAGTGGAAAGGAAAAAATGTGAAACATTTTCATAATAAGGGAAACCCATTCTGCCCTTCACTGGGCTTGGACTGTACATGTTTGAGGTCACAAGCAAATACACTACAGCAACAAACACTGTTTAATCTCCACATTCCTTGATCTGTGAAGCAAACTGGGGAATAGAGAAGTTTCTGCAGTGTTTAATCTCACTTTGCATTGAAATTAGGTTTTGAGCTGTTATCTTTGTATTCATGCTCACTGTTAAACTCCTGAAGATAGATATGCAGTCACAGAGGAGACCCCTTATCATAATTTAATGTGCGTACCTTTGGAAACTAAATACCTTCAAATTGCAAATCCACCTTGGAGACACAGGATCAAGGGTCCTGCTTAGAGTTAAGCTGTCAATCACCTGCACTCCTTGGGTTTTAGATGTAAGCTATAGTAATTTGGCTTGACCTGTGCACTTAATTTAGACATTGAGATGAGAGTTTCTTGAAAACATTCTGATTTTAATTTGTTCCATACATATGTGCAAAATGATAACAAAAATGTCATGGGAATGTTACCCCAGACACTGAAAAGTGAAGCTTAATAAGGTTTTTATGCTTAATTTATGTCCTGGGCACCGTAAATTTAACCATTGGTCCTGTATGAGGGTACTACTGTAGATGGTACAAACTGGTACTTTGACACATATAAGATGGTACTGCACAATTACCATATTCATATACCATGGTTTATGAATTAATTCTTTCAACAAGGTTGCATCAAATTGATCAGAAGTGACAGTAAAGACATTAATGTTACAGAAATATTTAAATGAAATACTGCTCTTTTGAACTTTTTATCAATTAAAGAATCCTGGAAAAATGTATCCATTTTCACAGAAAATATTAAGCAGTACAATTATTTTCAACACTGACAATAATAAGAAATGTTTCTTGAGCATTTCAGAGGGATCATGTGACACTGAAGACTTTATTACATAAGTAAAGTGCATTTTAAAATATATTAAAATAGAAAAGCTGTACCAATTATAATAATTTTTCACAAATTACTGCTTTTACTGTATTTTTTAATCAAAAAATCTTACTGACAACAAAAAATGTATGCCACCCCACAAAAAAAATGTTTGCCACGATATATAAAAAAATAACTATATATATAATTCCATAGTACTATTTAGTATTATATACATAGTATATAATTTTTTTGTGCATTAATAATACAGCAATCATTGTTGATTAGAATATGATAAGCCACTACATCAGAATAACATGCATGACATATTTGCAATTATTTGCTGCATATTGTCAGACTGTCCGACAGCTCATTTTAATTAGAATCTTCTCAGAATGTGTTTACATTATTAGATTGCTCTTAATGATGTTGCTATGAAAGTGTTTGACCTTGCTAGTATGTCACATTCTGCTATATATCAACATGCGCTAAGCAATTCCTATCTTGAATGTGGAATTAAGTACTACTTCTTTAATGAACCTTTTTTTGTTTGTTTTGACTAGAAGCAAGACTTTAAATATCTTTATACTCTAACTCTCTGGCACTGGCATCTATTGGTCTCTATTAGGCTTCTTTAATCATATATAGTGAGCATTTGCATGTTGTTGACATTGTGTTGATTTGTCAGTAGGTGACATGAGGGCAAGCAGGGAGTAAAAAGGGGTCCAGACGTACACGAGATTGAGACGCGGGTCGAAATGGAGAGATCAAGCTCAGAGGGAAAGCCTGGAGGAGGGGAGAGTCTTTCAGCCCAGCCTGAGAAACGCTACATCCCCCCCCCCACCCCAAGCTGAGAGCAGGCGGTATCCAGCTCAGAGAGGGGGAGGACAGCACACCCAACTGCCTCGGTTTTACATATGTCATGCGTTTGTGTTTTTCCTTGATGTGTGTATGCGTTTTTTGTTCTGTGGAGCACGTGTGTGTAGATCTTTTTGAAAGGGGGCAGGGGTCTGCCCACATGGTGATTAATTATTCATAAGGTGGGCGGGGATAAGTCAAAGTAGGAGGTGGCAGACGGGGGAATCTGTGTTTGCTGTGCGTGAGGGAGGCAGAAAGAGAGAGGGAACATCAGAGACAGTTAGTAAGGGCTTGAGGTAAGGATGCACAGAGGCATAACAGCCCCCAGAAGACACGTCATTAAGGAACTACACACATGCTTTGCTTCTTGATGGCACAGGCTGTAAGCCACAGTGACCTACTCCTCTAGTCAAAGGATTTTAAAGCAAGCAAACAGCCAGCACAAATAAATGAGGAATCTACTCTATTAGAGATGACAGGCCAGCTCACTCTTACCAGTTACAGAGACCTTCTTGCCTAAGAGGTAAATTGGATTTGTTTTCTTATGTATTCAAAAGCAGACTACAGAGGGCTGATAATTGCCTTTTTTTTGTTTCTGGAAGGAGAGAGAGGGCTTGCCAGCATGTGTCTTTTTTCTTTCATTCATTCTTATGTGTGTTTCATCCCACATGCTGACCGCGTTACACCGGGCTTTGTTGGTCTGACACGTTTAGACTTGTGGATCTTATTCTGTTATTTTAGTTAGCTATGTTAAGCTTTTAATGAACATTCAAAATATATAAATATTTAAAAAAACATAAATATGAAATGTATAACCTTTATAAAGAAACTGAATACTTTTAAATTTGACATGAAATAAATATTTGAAAGGTTAAATTAAATATTTGAGAGATTATACTGAATATTTGCGAGATTGGCAAATTGTATTTAGTGTTATTGTCTCTCTGACAATAATTGTGTGCCTTTGAGCTGTGATTTTGGTTGGTCACGGTGGCTGCTCGCTATTCTAATAAAGGGCCTTTCAGACTTCGTTTTTTAATGGGCTTCCACTTGTAGTCGGTATGATGAGTAATGTATTATTTGCCAAATAACATGAAAAGGGCATTTTGCATGTAAATTTATGAGTTAGTCATTTTCTAAATTAGTCAGACATTTATTGATGAGTGGTTGGCTGTGGATGAGTACATATTGATGTCTGAGTTGGACGCTGGGATTCATGTTGCGCGATCAGGGTCGCCGGCTGTGACCTTTGTGAACTCTGTTGCATTGCCCTCTCACACTCGTTCTAAAGTCTTCTGTCTGTCTGCATATCTCGCTGCCACCACATTACTGAACGTCATCTTCTGGCAGACTGAGGAGTAGTCTTTTGTTTTACTCTAAAAAAAAAAAAAAACTAGAGCTGTCAGTCAGATGCATTAAGTGTCTAGCTAGCATATGACTTGCGTTCAGAAGAAAACGGTCATTTACTGAAGAACATAAGCCAGCTGCCCTTGACAACCTCAAGCACAACCTATGAGCTGTCATTGTCCGATCTGTGTAGATTTGGACTCTGCAGTGTTGTGTTTCTGTCTTTGTCTCAGTGTGGTAAAGGTCCAAATGAATGATTGTAACTGTTCAACCAGATCTGTTTAGAATACTCGCTATTTATTTCAACACGCAATTAGACTACATTAATGAAAGTGTTTAGGGTGTTTTTTTCTTTTATTTGTTCTCATTCTCTCTCCCCCTCTATCTCTATCCTCCTTTCTCTTCATCTCTGCTTACAAAGTTATTTGTCAGTTTTGTATTTTATCACAGCTTAAAGTATAATGAACTATTATTTAGTGTTTACCATAAAGAGATCAGTTTATTGTGATAATATAATTTTAAAACAGATCCATACACATCCTTTGTGGTCTTGTCCCGGTGGTCGTCTGAGACAAGGTCTTTATAGGGGATCTGTATCTGGGGCTCATAAGATTGAACAGTTCTTTTCATTCAGTGCAACAGTTTACATAAAAATAGCTATTTAGTAAGTATAGCGATTGCAAAGAAAGATAATTTAGTTCTGCATTGTTTGTATGCACAGGTAGTCCTGCCTTCAAACTCTTAGGATTGGTTAAACCAGAATTTGCCAGATGTTGGACCTTTCAGATACTGTGTTTTTAATATTTTAAAAGCATCACAGTGTTTATTCCTTTAGATAAGTCAAATGTCTTACTTATAGTTGTCTGTTCTCATTAATGCTGAAATAATTACACATTCTCCTTTGAAGAATTGAAATACGCGCAGTGGTGAAAGCAGCTGTTTCATATTTACAACATAGCAGTCATGCATAGTCAGAAAAAGGCTGTTTGCTGTCCAGACTTTGATGTTTTCTAGGAAACTCCTGGAACTGATATGCAGCATTCACATGTGGCTGATGGCGACATGTCAGGATTTGTTCTGCCATGTGTATCTCTGCAAAACACATGGGAATAAATGGTTACTGTCACTTTACAAAAGAGCTTCTGTCGTGCCTTAATGTTAATGTTGTTAGTGGCCTAGACCGGAACCATGAGTGAAGTTCTGGATGAATGCACCTGAAAAAAAGGCAAAAACATCTCAGACTTGTGACAATGACATTATGACCTTGCGTAATATCATCAGCACTGTTGAATCAGCCATACAGCCGGACATGCAATACAAGGGGCTGATTGTGTAGATCTATGCGTTTCTGTGTATGGGGGGTTGGAAAGCCCATTGCTTTGTGCGGGCTGAACAGGAGGATGTTAATGTACTCGCAGATAATGCACAGAGATGCTCTTTCACTGTAAATATTTAAACATCAGTTTACTTAGTATAACTTAGAAATTTTCCCACAATAGCACATTTACACTTATGCTTAACCCAACACACCAGACATATGCGCTGTATACCACAGAAGTAGTAAGCTTATGCGATTCCTTCTCACTTCTCATCATGCCTGATGATTTACCAATAAAATGTGCACTGATTGCACAAAAAGATTGAATTACTTTGTAAAATCACTGTCTGGATTCAGTAATATACTTTCATGTAATTTACGCTGCCTTTCAGAGTGGATAAATGTCCTTTTATAGAATAAAAAGTGGTCTGGTACTGCTCATTTACATCCTGAGATCGGGCCAGGCATGGATGGATTGTTCCAGAACGTCTCCAATTAGTCCAGGTCTGTGTGGTTTAAAAAGCCTTCTGCTTTCCATAATGAGAGATTTAGCACTGGTGACACTGGCAATGCTCTTTTGGAGTATTAATCGTTTCCCTTGTGTTCGTGTCAAGACTAGCTAAGCTCTTAATAATAAGTGAATATATAGTCTATTGTGGCAAACTCAGCAAAATTACCCTCATATGCAGCATAATTGCACTCACAGCTGTTAGTCAGCACTTCCAGACCCATGCTTCTGTTTTATAATAGCGTAATAGTCTTACAGGTAGGCAGTAAGATCATACTGTAAGAACTGACATTTTGAAGAGAATATGGAGCCAGATGCTCAAATCCCAGATGGGGAACAGTTGTTGGACCCTTGAGCATTGCGCTTGAATTGCGTGATTTTTCCTACTGAAAGTGTGTGACTGAAAGAGTAACGTGCTTACACATATTACACACATTCATTCAGAAACATATTGAGGATCACAAAATAGCTATAAATGTTCCTGTATTGCCAAGATCACCAAAAGACAAAGGCTAATATAAGAAACTACAGTATTAGCACACGATCAAAAGCTTGAGTATATTTCTTCTTTCCTGCATTTTTGATCCATTTGTGGATATTATTGTAGCTCGAAGCTGTCAGAGCATGTTTTATGGATGTTGCATGACGGGCGACGACAGAAACGTGTTAGTAGCATGCAGAAATAATCCACACACATTTCCTGTGACTAAAAGGGATAGGCTGTATTACATGGGGAAGTCGTGGCCTAATGGTTAGAGAGTCGGACTCGTAACCCAAAGGTTGTGAGTTCGAGTTCGAGTCTCCGGTCCGGCAGGTATTGTAGGTGGGGGGAGTGAATGTACAGCACTCTCTTCCACCTTCAGTACCACGACTGAGGTGCCCTTGAGCAAGGCACCGAACCCCCAACTGCTCCCCGGGCGCCGCAGCATAAATGGCTGCCCACTGCTCCGGGTGTATGTTCACGGTGTGTGTGTGTGTGTTCACTGCTGCGTGTGTGCACTTAGGATGGGTTAAATGCAGAGCACTAATTCCTAGTATGGGTAACCATACTTGGCCACATGTCACTTCACTTTCACTTTCACTTTCACATGCCAATCCACCAAAAAATGAATAAATTCAGAGGTATAATTTGTATGTCTCTAAAACAGCATTGACCTGAATTATGACCTCGTGTTGCCTCATGCACAGCGCCTGAGGGCAACAGTACGAGCCGAAGCAAACATGAAGTTCAACAGAGCTCGGCGTGGAATACACATGAGTCTGATTCATCAGACGTCAGTCCGCTGCGATTTGCTGGTGTCTTCAGATCTGAGAGAAGGGTAAATCTTGAGGCTTTAGGTTTTAGCATAAACTACAGAATTAAGAAAGCACTGTAAATAGCATGCGCATATATTATCTTCAGTTCCTGAATGCACCAACTGCATTGACCCTGTGGCATTTGGAACAGGTTCAGTCAGAATGGTTTAAGGACGGAGATGGGATGGTCTCCCACAAAGCTGGTCCTCTCTCTGCTTCAGGGGCTTGAAAAACAGTTCATGAACCCTTTGGATGCTCTGAGGCAAAGCACAAAGTAATTAGCAGTATTTCTTAGGGATTTTAGGGATTCTCTTTGTTTGAATATGATTAGCATAGAGTGCTTGTGTGAAACGTGTTTCAAGTGTGATTATGGGTTTCTTAGCAGCATGCTTGTCATGTTTCGGAGCTGTGTTGTCTTTGAGGAGCCTTTGTTGAAGAGTTTGTACCACAAATTTCCCAACCTTTTTTCCAGTACCCCTCCATTGACACCAAACCAGAAATTAGTTAAGTTTAGCCAATTTTTAAATTGTTTAACATATAGTTTATTTGAAATATTTGTGATAATTTTACTCCGTTGACAGACCCAATTATTTACAAATGTCAATTAAGTAGCATTAATATTTAAATATATTATAACTTTATATACAGTTGTTAAAATCAGTTAATTTTTAATACAAACTTTTAAATTACTAGTAAAATAGTATAATATATATATATATATATATACATTTTTTTTTATTAATCATTGAGGTTAAAACATCTTGTCTATTCTTTATCTGTACAAGGAGGGACATGTTCTCAGTTGCCATCTCATTCATTGATTGGCTTTCTCTATTCTGAGAGCTTTAATGGCAGCATGTGTCCAGAATAATCACAAAAGAATGAAAAGCCCACCTTCCTAAATTAGCTCCAGGGGCGTTTCTTGTAGTTGTTATTGTGCAGTGGATGGATTTCTGAGGTTTGATTAATGGATTTGTCAGCAGCTCATCTCCCAGAGCCCCCTTCTCTATCACACACTCATTCACACATAGACTCAAACACACATGCAAATTCA